ACAGTAGATGGATTCTCCCCCAACGCCACCCCTTTCTCAGCAAGGGGCATTTCCTTCTGCGTGCTTGCAGACTGAAGAGAGGCCAGCCCCAATTCCTGGGGCTCCCCAAGGAGTTGGTTTTCAGCAGAGTTTAGAGCAGCTCTGAAAGTGAACTGACCCTGGAAAAATGGTAAGTTGCTGCTCTGTGGCCATGTGTTCTTTGGGTGGGGGAAGGTGTTTAGAGGAGCAAGAAACAGAGGGTTCTTGTCTTATTTCTGTCTTCTTACTCCCCCTCTCACCTCTGCCAGCCTTACAGAATGTTTTGAAAAATTTTGTCACCCTCAAAGTTTGTAAATCATACGGAATTCTTTTGAAAGCTACTATATAATTGCTGTCAAAGGTATCTTTTAATTTTTCTCCTTTTCAAATAGGCCATATTTGGTTAGCTCTGTTGGTAACATAAGGGGCCCCAATGAGGCAAAGGTCCTAATTTTCACCCCATGGGTCAGCTAAGTTTCCTCTGTCTCAGGAATACAGAATGCACACTTGACCTTGGCTTACAAACACCTGCTGTGAGTTATTTGAGGGCATCAGCCAGAGAACTTGGTTGAAATAGACAGGATCAAATATACCACGGGGAAAATAACTCAGTGTTATCCATGCCTACAGCAAATGGGTCAACAGCGTTATCTTCGTAAATATCAGCGTTTCATATCTAGCACTCATGTGCCCTGCATCCTGTCCTCAGAACTGTGCTTTGGAATTCTTTCTGCTCTATCAGCTCCACCATCTAATTTTACCCAACAATTCATTTTGTACAATCACTCCACTTTCTACTTCTTTGACGTAGTTTTTGTAATCAAGGACAAGAAGAAAACTTGTCCTTGGTATCTTTTTTTGGCTTCTCCACTTAAATTGAGCTTGAAGTGGAGACCACATTTGTAGCTGTCTGCATAGCTATTTCAATTTAGTATATAAAAAACTAGGATTTGGTAATTCTTTAACTTATGTGCCATTCTGCCTGTTCCATCTAGAACTTAACTATTTGTCAGCCTCAGCTCTCTTGAAGACAGGGGAAGTTCAGGAAATAATCTTAACCGCGCGCACACACCTACCTTGTGTCCTAAAAAGGCATAAAAAGTCACAGAGTCTGGTACCAAATTTGGTTTATTGATAAGAGAGTGATTTATCACCTCACACAGGGCCTATCTTTTGATCCATTCTGTCTCCCTTGACTTTTCTCTTGTCCTGAGAAGAATTCCTCCCCCTAATCTAATAGTAATACCCAACTTTCCCCCATTCCATGTGGTCCTGGAGGGACTGTCAATCATGGTGCTCCACTCCTGGCCAAGGATTGGGCATGAGATCTTAGTGAAGCAATCAGAATTCCTTATCTCCTTGGACTTTGCGATTGGTTCCAGGGGTGTGCACATGATTCAAGCATGGCCAATCCGAGTTTTTTCCCGTGAGGTTTGATATGTGGACAGTGAAGGAGAGGAAAGCTAACCATCCTTTTAGATTTGAACTGTGGAGATGTTTGCTTGGGGCAGTTGAAGACATGATCCCTGCCTTGTAGAGTAGGCCTAACTGAGAAAAAGGCCAACTCGCAGAGTCAAGAGAAGAAGCAAAAGGGAAAGACATAAAACTTTTCAGTCCTTGGATCCAGCTGTGCTTGAAGCTTGCACTATCCTTGTCTTCCCTGTTACATGAGAAAATACACTCACTTTTGGCTTACACCACTGTGGGTTGGGTTTTGATCACATATAACTTAAAGCATCTTGACTACTTCAATAAATATTATGGAGACAGCTTTAATAGATAACTGCCGCTTGACCTTGGCCGGGGGGTGGGCAGTAAAGCTCTCAAAACAGAACGATATGAAAGCACAGCATCTGGTGCTATATTGTGAAGGGACAAATGTTTCATTCACCTCATTAGGCCTTTAGGACAATATATTTCAAGCTGCAGGTCATGATACATTGGGTGGATCATGAAATCAATGTAGTGGGACATGAATGGCATTTTTTGAAAGATGATAGAATAGAACACAAAATAGAGAATACATCACATGTGTAAAGGTAAGCTTGATTTCAAGACATTTTATGTCAAGTGTATGTGTAAGTATATATGTTCTGGATAGTGCTACAAAGTATCTTTTCTACTGAGGGGCATGAGCAAAACATTTGATAGTTTCTGCTTAGAACAAAACTGCATCACAACAGTGAAGAGAGCAGAAGAATCCAAATATTTAGCACATTACTATTCCTATGTTCTAAGAAAAGGAAGCTTCCTGTTTTCCACAACTGATGCCCTAGTACTGACCTTGCTGAATATGCATGTGGAAGAAGGATGGGTGGGAGCCATGCATGGAATTAAAGTAGGTAATTAAAGGTGCATCCAGCTCTTCTAGATTAAAGGCTGCTTCCTATTCCTAACTGAGTGACTAAGTCAATTTATTCAGTTAGTTGAAGTTCCTCTCTTTATCAGGGCTGTTTTGCCTCCTGGTCCTCCTCCTGGGTGGAAGGGGTTGGGGAGAGAAGCATCTTACCTCAGCTGTGAGGGCAGGAAAGAGAGTCTGGAATGCAGATGTTGCTCTCCAGATTCTCAGTTACCTGTCACAGGGGCGCTGGTCTGACCTGGTTTCTAGAATGAGTCCACTGAAGAAGTCTGGGGTTGGCAAGCATGTGGTTTATACTCTAGGCTTAGAAAGGTCCCATGACCCTCCTTTCCCCAGCCCCACCTCGGCTCTCACTGGTGCTGTGGATATCTTGACCCTCCCTCCACCTCTGCCTCAGGTCTAGCTTGTCATGAGCAGCTGATCCCTGGTCCTTGGCTATGGGGTAAATCACCCTCAATGTAGCAACCCGCCAGCCAGCACCATCAGCTCTCTTCTGTGTTGCCCTATATAGCATGAGGGACCTTTTAGATCCCCACAATACATAGGAGCCAGAAGAGGTTCCAGAATGCTAACTCAGTCTTTCTCTCTGCCTGTCCACCCCTCTCTGCCACTTTAACTGGCTTCCTCACATTGGAGCAAGGCCACCTATCATGGCTGTCTCCCCTAAGAGTACCAAATGGAAAAGGGGCAAACCCCACTCTGCTTTTGACTTTACTCTGAATTTTCTGACACCCTTCCATTTCCCTGCTCCCTCTGGGACTTTGGCTTGGAAAGGAGTAACCAGGACACACTTATCTCACCAATTGCTTCTTAAATGTGTCCCCTTCTGTTACCCACACTCCACTGGGGCCTGAGAGGGCTAGCTGTCCATTTTTCCCATGGGTCAGGGACTGTCCTTACATCATTTTCTGAGTTCTTTCTACCAGTGACTTATCATAAGCCTGAAGACACATAGGCATATGTGTCTTACTTTATAAGTACTTTATACTTATAAGTGAAGGAGAGCCTAAGGAATTTAGAAAATCCTCAAGATTCTCAAGACCGTTGTTTCTCTATGGACTTAAAAAAATTTTCCATATTGGTTGTCTAAACTTGGGCATTGACCTTTTCTTTTCCTTTCTTTCATGTTTTAACAAATTCTGAACACCCTGAGTAAATGAGTGCCCTTAGCTGGCTAGGGGGAAGGTTACAAAAATTGAAATATGTTGTTTAAATTATTGACATCATTTAATAAATATTATCCTTTTACAAGAATAATTTATGTTCATAATTATCATCACATGTGGTGGTCATCTTGAAATACATTTAGGTATTTTAAATACTTAGTGTCTCTACACATAAACACATACATACATTCTCGGTATTTCCACCGTGAGATTTTGGGATAATTCCTCATCATTATTTATAAGAGTGGGTGGGCTTTTATAAGCATGGAATTAGCCCTACTTCTCAGTCCAAAAAAGAAATTTCTAGACAGAAGCCAATGAAAATTTATTCTTCTAGATGAGTGGTCAGCAAACTTTTTCTGTGAAAAAGCTAGATAGCAAATATTTTAGGCTTTGTGGGCCATATGGTCTCTGTCGTAACTACTCAGCTCTGATGTTATAACACAAAGACAGCCATAGAGGAACATACGTGATGGGACGTGGCTGTGTTCCAGTAAAACTTTATTTATGGACACTGGAATTTGAATTTCATGCAATTTTCACTTGTCACAATGTATTTTCCTTTTTTTTTTTTTTCAACCATTTAGAAACATGAACACCATTCTTAACTGTGGGCTATGTAAAATAGGCAGCAGTCTGGGTTTGGCCCACAAGCCATAGTTCGCCAGCCCCTGCCCTAGATCCCCCTTTTAAATTGAGATATTTTTATTTCCTCTCTCCTCCCATTAAGATGCAAGTCAATGTAGCACTGGCAGCAACCAAGGCCAGTTTTAACTTACTGACTTTCCAACCCGCTCCATCCTTGTTGGCACCTACAAGAGAAATGCTACCACACATCTGCATCAAACAATGAGTATGTTTCCTGGATATTTTGAGGACAACTTTCCAGATTTGCAAAATACAGTCAACTGACCCACAGAAACTCTTGATGCCTCCTCACCAGTCCCCTGAGTTCCTTCCCTGGTTGCACACTCAATGAGAGAAGCCACATCATGGAGGACTCTGCTTAAATGGCAAGAGGAGAAGGTGGTGCAAGATCAGTCTGCTGAGACCTCCATCTTTGCTGAGCTGGGTGGCATTCCTGCCAGAACAATGTCCTGTGACAAGTCACTGGAATTGTCTTGTGCTTTTGGCAAATCCATAAGAAGAAAAGTGAACTCAAGAGTGACATAGAGGAAATAATTCAAATACCAAGATCTAAATCTGATTTCTTAACATCCAGGCCTCAAAGGGATGCATCATGAGTCATTAAGAAAAGCTTGTATATGGGGCCAACCCAGTGGCATAGCAGTTTAGTGCCCTCGTTCCACTTCGGCGGCCCGGGGTTCACTGGTTCAGATCCCGGGTGCAGACATGGCACTCTTTGGCAAGCCATGCTGTGGTAAGTGTCCCACATGTAAAGTAGAGGAAGATGGGCATGGGTGTTAGCTCAGGGCCAGTCTTCCTCAGCAAAAAGAGGAGGATTGGCAGCAGATGTTAGCTCAGGACTAATCTTCCTCAAAAGAAAAAAAAGAAAAGCTTGTGTCATAAATTTGTACAATCTGTTTAAGAAAAAACTAAGTTTATGATACAATTAGAAAATGTTCCAATCAAAATAGTTGAAACATTCACTGTTTTGTTATTTTAAATCAGCTATCTGGAACGTTCAGCTATCCAGAACAACTCATTCCCAGCAGGTCTGGGATACCTCTGTTTTAGTATAAAATTGCCTTCTGGGAGATTTGTCACTGTCACTCATAGTTTAGGATTTGCAAGAGTCATTTATGGCAGTAGGTGTGAGGTTAGATACAACTAATTTCTATATAACACTATTTTTATTACCCAAAGAAAATTCTAACTAAATAAACCAACGTGTGAAATATAATTTCTCACCAGAATTACACTGGCCATCAGCCTCCTGGCCATCATTCATTTTCACATTACATAATTTAAGTTAATTGAATGAAAATATTCTAACATCTTGATGGTATAGCTAGACCTCAGAGGTTTCATTATAAGAAGGAAAAATAAGTTATTCACACAAGAAACACTCTGTTTAGGAGAACTTCATATAAAATGGCGATAATTAGTGAACATTGGGGTTTTTGATTCATTAAAGGTAACTTTTTGATCACTTTTTTGTAAATGAAACATTAACTTATTTGCATTCAGTTAAGTTATCGCTATAAATCCTCTGAATATAAAGGTCACAAAATGACAGTTAATTTTACATTACATTATTTGGTGTGGAGGGTCTTTCTGAATACTGTTTAAGCCCCTACTTTGTGTCGGGTACTATGGTAGGTGTTTGCCATTTGTTACCTTGTTTAATAGTCACATCAACCTTATGAGAAGACAGAACTTAAGTAACTTGCCCAATGCACCTATGTTCTCACTGACTCCAGAGTCTAAATCCATCCCCTGGGTGGTCCACTCACTATGAGACTGCCACACAGTGAGAACAATGGGGAAATAGTTCGTTAATTAATTGGTTGCTTTATTTACATGATACAGAAATTCGAATTGATTCATTTTTCTCGATAAATAGATTATCTTTTTGCTTTTATTCAATTCACCCAACATAGTTTGAGATGTAGTCTACTGATTAGCTTCTACTTGGGGAGCCCAGGCCCCCAGACAGTTCTTAAGTCACTTGGCAGATTTGTAGTAAGCTAAGGACTTAGGCTCCTCAAACAGCCCCTTCACACTGAACATTATGCACACCTTAGCCTGGCTGACAGTCTAAACGTGCTAGTGTTGGAGGACTATGGTCACTCCATAGCTTCATTTTTTTTAATTAAAAAGCTCAGATTTCAAGGATCACAACTGAACTAAGCTTTCATCCTTGGATATTTCTTTCTGCAATTAAAAGCAATTTTTTTCAGTAATAGATTGGTTACGTAGTATATTAAAATCGACTTTGGAGATTTCTTCTTTCATTCACATTTGTGTAATATTCAACCCTCACTAAATGTTTCGGGTTGAAAAGTGATTGGCCTCTGGAGCAGAGTTATTGCATAGAAGGAAGAATAAATAAATAAATAAATAGAAGGAAGAATAAATAAATAATAGATAACTTATATCTAGTCAGAAATCATTTTGCCCTGAAGGAGGGCAGAGAACACTCTGTGAAAAGGCCATGAGGTTGGTTATACTGGAGCAAGCAGTGCATGACGCACCTGAGATGTCAGAGAAAGAGATGGAGACCTATGTACCTTAGCATGCTAAGGAGTTTTAATTATACCCAGAATGTGAATGATGTTTATTAGGGAAACGGCATGATGAGATTCACATTTTTATTTATTTATTAATTTTTTTGCAGAGGAAGATTAGCTCTGAGCTAACATCTGTTGCCAATCTTCCTCTTCTTTTTTTGTTCGAGGAAGATTAGCCCTGAGCTAAGATCTGTGCCAATTTTCTTCCACTATATATGTGGGTCACCAGCACAGAATAGCTGATGAGTAGTGTAGGTCTATGCTCAGTATCCGAACACACAAATCCAGGCTGCTGAAGCAGATTGCACTGAACTTAACAACTACTCCATGGGACCAGCCCCAAGATTCACATTTTTAAAACATCACTCATATTTCAACAACTGAGTATCATATAGATTGCAATCTATGAAAAATTTTTCATGAAATTCAACAAATTACTGGCACAGCTGGTTATCTATACAGAAAAAAATACATTGGATTTTTACCTCACACCATACATTCTAATCGAAGACACTGGGAAATAAATGGTTAAGCAGGTCTGTAATTCATTCTCTCCAGTAGGAGAATGAGGAGCAAGGAATCCAGGAAAGAGAGAACATGGTCTCATCTCTTTGTAAACACACTAATGACAGACATCTTGGCAAGTGAATTGATGGAATTTGTGAATGGAAACGTCCCTATCTGTGGAAGGCTTTTAGCAGAATAGATCTGGTTGTCTAGAACTGATCACGGTAAACAAACTTGAGATCTAGGGATTGATGGTGCATAGACGGAGAAATTTTATTTTCAAAATGACCTCCCTCTGTACAAGTGACGTGAATCTCACACATTGCTTAGAGACTTCATGTGTTAATCTGAAGTGCATCCAATGTGGCAGGAAAGGCTCTGAAGAGTGATATTACTAATCCCTGACCTCCCCCTGCTTTGCCTATGCCTCAAAATTACCTGCATCCTTTGAATTATGAGTAAAGCTTAACACTGGGTGAGACTTCTGATTCATGTGTGTCTGATTTGAGAATCTGATACTTCGTATCTGATACTCAGACACTATAAAGAAGTAAAAAAAAAAAAAAAAAAAAGACCCTGCCTGGTAGACTTAATTTGAAATATTAATCTACAAAATATATAAAGAAGTCCTGCAAATGAAAAAATGGGCAAATTACATGAAGAAGCACTTCCCAGAAGAGTTAATGATTGGCCAAAACCTTATGAAAAGATGCTCACTCTTATAAGCAATTAGAAAAATTCACATTAAAACCACAATGAAATGCCTTTGCATACTCACTGTATTGCTTAGATGGCAAAGATATGGAGAAATGGTAACATCTATACACTATTGGTGGGAGAGTAAAATAGCTTCAAAAATAAATTGCCACTATTTTGAACAAGCCCTAAAATGTACCCTTTAACCTAGAAATTCCACTCCTAGATATAAACACTAGAGAAATCCATGTACATTCTTTCCCAAGGACACAACAATGTTCATAGCAGCACTATTTGCATCAACTATAGAATGGATAAATAATTTTACGTATATTAACAAGATGCATTATACAGTAATATAAATAAATGAACTACATTTAACATGGGTGAGTCAAAATCATACTATTAAGTAGCAAAATTGAAGACTACGTATTATACTTTACCATTTTTCTGTGGTTAAAAGCCAAACAAAATTTAACATTAAAATCTTAGGGATACATACATATTTGATAATGCTATCTTAAAGAAATAATCACACAATTAAAGATAGTGTAGTAAATAGAATAATGGCCCCCCCCCCAAACACATCCGTCTCCTAATCTCCACAACCTGTGAATCTACCTTACATGGCAAAAAGGACTTTGCAGGTGTAATTAAATCATGGGTTTGAGATGGGAAGTTGATCCTGGACTGTATGGCTGGGTCCATCGTAATCACAGGGGTCTTGTAAGAGGGAGGCAAGACTGTCAGAGTCAGAAAGGAGATATGACCCTGGAAGCAGAGGTGAGAGAGAGAGGGAGAGATCTGAACAAGTTATCCTGTTGGCTTTGAAGATGGAGGAAGCAATGAGCCAAGGAATATAGGCAGCCTCTAAAAGCTGGAAAAGGCAAGGGAACAACATTTCCCCCGGAGCCCCTAGAAGGAAAGCAGCCCCGCTGAGCTATTTTACACTTCTGATCTCCACAGCTGTAAGATAATACGCTTGTGTTATTTTAAGCCCTAAATTTGTGGTGACTTGTTATAGCAACAATAGGAAATTGATACACTATGAGAATGCGTCAAGAGCTTGAGACAGTGAACTTCCATACAGATGCAATAATATGGCTTCATGTACTAATTCCTAAGTTAAGTGAAGTCTTCATGAATATTTTATAATTATGCTTCATAACTTACATAAGTCATATTCTTTTTTGAAAGTATCAAATATTATACTGAAAAACTTTCACATGCACACACGTGCAAACACTCAAATGGTGAATGCAGAAGGGCAGCAGGTTTTGGAAGAGAATAATGAGGTGTTTTCTTCTCCCACATATTGCTTTTGAGATACTAATGGAACATTCAAGAAGAGAGGTTCAGAAGGCAGAAGGAAGAATCAGGAGCTTGGGAGAGGTCTGGAATCTTCATCCTCCAGGTGGTAATTGAGTCAATGAGTGAGTTACCAAACCCTGGGGTGAGCATCAATTAAAGAAGATGGAAGAAACCCACAAAGACAATTGAGGAGTGTGCTCAGCTAGAAGAAAACAGAGAGAATAATTGGCATGTCATTTAAACACTTAGTAGTTTATGTGCATATGTTTTTAAATTCGTAGTGGTGTTATTCTCAAGAAACTCAGTGATAACACTCCTGGCAAGGTATTGGCCATATCAGATATACCAGAGCCTGGGTGAATCTCACTGATCTTCCAGGGAGGCCCAGACTAGCCCTGCTTGGCTCCTGAAACCTTAGCCACTAGGCTCACCAAGGGAGAGAGCTAGTGGGTGCTGAGCACTGCGGGCATCTGCTGTCTTGCTCCACTATAGGAGGACCCAGTCAATTTGAAAGCACCCACTTTCCTACCTTGACCAGTTTCATTTCTCTGCAGGGATGTATCCACACCTGAAATACAGATTTCTTGATGAGATCAAAAAATTAACTGTGGCAGTAACCACTGTTCTGAAATTTTAGGCAGATGACTAATACTACAAGGTTGTTTGTGCTGCTGCTGTTGTCCGTCTGTCAGTCTTACGTGTGACCAGGACTCCACACTCACGGGAGCTGCCAGGCTTGGCTTTTCACATCACTGCTGTCTTAGAACACATCCATTCACGTCTCAGACCTGCAGGTGAAATAACGGGCATAGGAAATTATGAAAATTACAACAAACTCTACAGAAAATCAAAGTAATTGGGGGTAGTAACAGGAGCACTGTTTACATATGGCACTCAAATGATTATTTTACACTTTGGGCGTGCAGGCCATATGGGGCTGGGAGTTTTCTTGTTTTGTTTTGTTTTAAAGTGTCATGTGTGTTTAGTCCTTGTCACTTTCAGTCTGAACACACTAGAACTGCAAAATGCAACATCTGCTCTCCACAGCATCCTGCCAGTGCGCCAAATGTATGCAAAACATCCTTGGTTTTACTGCCATTGAAGGATATTAATCTCTTAGGGGGAATGAATTAGCAACTTGACTTCTTAGTGTTTACGAACACTTTAAAAATGATAACCTGTGGATATTTTCTCTTTCTCTTATCTGTAAGTCAATCATTTCCTTTTCTTTCAAGGTCTGACCTAAGGAAAGGGTCTAACTTAGAGTAGAAACATAGACATTTGTAATATATAAATACATATGAATATGCTTTAATAATTTAATTATAAAATTTGAAGGAGCAAAATGTATTCCCAGGGATTTCATTTTTCCCCCTAACCGGCACTTCAAATTCAGAATTGAAGGCCATATTAACATTGTCTCCATATAAATTCATATAGGAAACAGCATGGTGCCATCTGTTGGTGAATTCTTGGGTATTGCTAGTTCCTTTAGTATTTCAGCATGTTGAGAGCATCTTCACTCATTCATTCAATTACACTAAGCACTTACTATGTGCCAAAACCTACACTAAGTGTTATGGAAATTAAGATAAACCATGATGACAAATCAAAATTTAACACAAGTTTGGCACTTGTCTTCTATTTCAAAGTTCTAGAATTCTACACACTTCTGCAACACAGATGATGTCACAGTTTTATATTTTAGGGACCTGTATACAGCCCATTGTGTTAGTCATTAGTCATGTTAGTAACCTTAAAAAGGGATTTAGTAATCTGAGACCTCTTTGTCCACACTTATTTAGTGACCAAAAAAAACACAGGTACTCATTTGAAATTCTTAGCATTCCTCAACTCTAGTTAAATAAAATTAGAATCATCCTGCTAGCTAATAGATATTTGCAAGATGACTTATTTAGGTCAAAAACTTAATACAAGTAAAAAGCTAGTAGCTCTGATAAAAATATATTTGGCATTGAATGACAAAAATTCTTCCTTGAACTCCCCATTCCCCAATGGCTCCGTTATTCTGCTTCTCTGCAAGGCAAAATTTCTTGAATTGATTTTTTTTTATAATCTACTCCAATCAACCTTTTGTGCCCCGCTACACACGCACACACGCACACACACAAACACTGAAACCATCAAGTTCACCAACAATCTCCATGTTGCTAAATCCAATGGCCAATTCTCAGTCTACATTGTATCTTACCTCTCAGCATCCTCAACACAGTTGCTTGCTCCCTTTTCCTAACACATTTTTTCACTTGTTTCTAGAATGCCTCACTCTCCTAGTTGGTCTCCCTCTGAGGCTGCCTCTTTTGAGGTTTCTTCACACAACTATCCCTCTCTCCAAAACCTCTAATTCGTAGAGTACCCCAAGGGTTCAGTTCAATCCTCAGACACTTCTTTACTACACTCTCTTCAGTCCATCTAAGCGCTAGCCAATAGAAACATAATGCAAGCCACATACGTAATTTTCAATCTTCTAGTAGCCACATTTTTAAAAGCAATAGAAACAGGTAAAATTAATTTTCATGACATATTTATTATGTCAACATATCCAGAGTATTATCATTCCAACATGTAATCAATATTAAAACTATTAATAAGTTATTTTACATTTTTTGTACCAAGTCTTTGAAATATGGTAGATATTTTACACTTGTGGTACATCTTAATTCAGAAGTTACATTTTCATAGGAAATGCCTGGTCTCCATTTCATAGGAAATGCCTGATTTTATAACATTTACAGTTGAAAACCATACCTAAGTTTTTTCAAACATACTTAAAAGATTTCCAATACTTGAATCAAGTGTCAGTTTTTACATTTAAATTTAAATTAATTAACATTAAATAAAATTCAGTTTCTTAGTCCTGCTAGCTACATTTCAAGTGCTCAGTAGCCACATATGGTTACTAGCAGCTCATATTGGAAAGCACAGCTCTAGATGATTACGTTTATTTCATGGGTTTAAATCATATCTCTATGCCACAAATTAGATCTGCAGCATGAAACTCTGCCCTGACTGATATATCCAAATGCTTATTCAACATTTTACTTAGATATCTAACAGGCAAACCAAATTTAATATTTGATTTTGTTTTGGCATCCCTCCCCGCTTGCACCTGTTCCTGAGGGGTGAAAAACGCAAAGTTTGGATCTCTCTCTTTCTCTCACACCTCTACAATCAATCCGTCCTATCTACTTTTAAAATTATGTTCAGAATCTGACCAGTTCTCACCCCTTCCATTGCCCCCCAGTCGAGCCACGATCATCTCTCTGGCACTGCTGCCGTGGCTCCTAACAGTCTCCTAGCTTCTCCTACCCTGCTCCTCCTACTGTCTGTCCTCCACAGGGCACTGCAACAAATGTGTGAAATGAAAATCAAATCATATCTCCTCTTGACTCAAAATCCATCACGGTCTTCCTGTCCTGCTTTTAACAACACGTTCCGGGCCTGAGTGATCTGGCTCCTGTCTTCATCTCCAGTCTCCTCTCTCATCGCTCTGCTCCTAGCCCACCCCTTTCTAGTCACACTGGCTTTCTTCATCACATCAAGTTCATGAGGGTCCCACAGCCTGTGCCTCTTCCTCAGATGTATGTGTGGTTTGCTCCTTCATTCCAGGCTCTGATGATATGTCACCCAACCATCCTATCCAAACAGCCCCGCTCCTCCTACCCCACCCCAACCCACTCAGTCCTCTTACTGCGCTTTATTTCTCCTCCTAATAGCCACCACTACCTGAGAGTCTAGCCTATGTTTGTTTGGTTATTGTCTGGCTTTCCCTCTAGGGAATAAGCTCCATGAGGGCAGAACTTGAAATGTTTCTTTCCTCTGGAGACTTCCAGTTTCCAGTTCCACATTAAGAAGCTTAGAAGTCACCACTCTGTTGTAACAACAGGTAAAGAGTGGGACAGACTGAAAAATCAACAGCTCTTTGCGGATCCATAGAGAGGGGAGGACACAGAGCCAAATGTGGCTCTCAAGATTGGAGAAGACAGACAGGGGAATACAGGTAGTCGTGCCTAATCAAGCGTAGACTCGTGGGTGGAAACCATCCTAGGAACCATGCTGGGAGAGGAAAACAGGAACTGCAATTGGCAGCTTGCTGGAGGCTCAGTGAAGACAGGTCTGAGAGTGAAAATCTCCAGGGTACCCAGTCATAGAGGGACCCCTACAATATTGTCAGATTCACCTCCAGGAGCTTGACCAGATTCCCACAATGAATATCAGAGAAAAATCCGCTCGGTCTTCTGGCAGGTGGAGGAGAAAAGGAACCATTTTGAAATAGGCCAGAACACTCTGTCCTTCTTAACAAGGCCTGCCCTCAGGGGAATCTAGTTAACCAGAGACTAACCTGCTGGGGTATTATCAGAGCCTAACTGAGCTGGGGAAGGGAAATACCCAACTCCAGCCAGCCCTAGCCTTCTAGTAGGAGAAGGGAAATACACAACCCCAGCCTACTCTAGCCATCCTGTCCCACCCACAGGGGGATAAAAGAACTAGAAACACTCTTGAAGTACACAGTTCAGGAGCACAGGCTCACTAAACATATGACTATAGAACGCTTCCGCTGCCCCCACACCTCGCCACCACATTACAGGTATACCTCGCTTTATCACTGTTCACTTTACTGCGCTTCACAGATAATGCAAATATGTTGAGCCCACTGTTGAGACCCACTCCTCAGAAGAAAGATTCCTTTCAAAGTATTACTGCTCATTGACACTGCACCTGATCACCCAAGAGCTCCGATGCAGATGTACAATGAGATTAACGTTGTTTTCATGCCTGCTAACACAACATCCATTCTGCAGCCCAGGGATCAAGGAGTAATTTCGACTTTCAAGTCTTATTAAGAAATACACTTTGTAAGGCGATGGCTGTCATAATAGTGATTCCTCTGATGGATCTGGGCAAAGTAAAGTGAAAACCTTCTGGGAAGGATTCACCATTCTAGATGCCATTAAGAACATTCATGATTCATGAGAAAAGGTCAATATATCAACATTAACAGGAGTTTGGAAGAAGTTGCTTCCAACCCTCATGGATGACTTTGAGGGGTTCACGACTTCAGTGGAGGAAGTAACTGCAGATGTGGTGGAAACAGCAAGAGAACTAGATTTAGAAGAGGAGCCTGAGGGTGTGACTGAATTGCTGCCATCTCACGATAAAACTTGAACAGATGAGGAGTTGCTTCTTATGGATGAGCAAAGAAAGCGGTTTATTGAGATGGAATCTGATCCTGGTGAAGATGCTGTGAAAATTGTTGAAATGACAACAAAGAATTTCGAATATTGCGTAAGCTTAGTAGATAAAGTAGTTTCAGGGTTTGAGAGGACTGACTCCAAGTTTGAAAGAAGTTCTACTGTGGGTAAAAGCTGTGACACAGCATCGCATGCTACAGAGAAATTGTTCATGAAAGGAAGAGTCAACCGATGCAGGAAACTTCACCGTCGTCTTATTTTAAGAAATTGCCACTGCCACATCAACCTTCAGCAACCACCACCCTGATCAGTTAGCAGCCATCCACATCAATACAAGACCCTCCACTAGCAAAAAGATTATGACTCCCTGAGGGCTCAGATGATGGTTAGCATTTTTTAGCAATAAAGTATTTTTAATTAAGATATGTACATTGTTTTTAAGACATAATGCTATTGCACACTTAATAGAGCACAAAATAGTGTAAACATAACTTTATATGTCCTGGGAAACCAAAAAATTCCTATAATTCACTTTACTGTGATACTCACTTTATTGCATTAGTCTTGAAACAAAC